GGTGGTCTAGTTGATTAAGAGCTTGGCACGAGATTGATGGGTCTCGGGTTCGGGTCTCGCTGTTGGCGGGATCGTGGAAGAGCACTGTTGAGGAGTCCCATAATAGGGCGAAACGGCTGTCCAGTGCCCCTAGGTTTTCCATGGTGATCTGGCTTCACTTGACTCATGATTTCAATCTGTGATATTATTACTATTGGTATATGTGCATACTGTGCGTATTGCATCGGTATGCCCTTAATTCACAAGTATTATATGCAAAGATGGATAGTGGCTACTAGTGGAATCCAGTCTGATGCGCGTTTCATCCTATTTGCAACTCGTCAGCTGAATGTGTCTGCATCTCAGAGTTGATGTTTACTACGGGAGGGACTCGACTTCAGTACCATTCGCTTCAAACGCCATTGCATTATCTACTTAACTACTGAGTTCTGATAGCCACATGCTTGTACAATGGGGTGAAGTTTATATTCACTTGATGTTGTTTACTTGAATCTTCTGATTGATGTTTAGAACTGAAATTGATCAGTCTGTTATTATTATTAGCATATGTGCATACTGTTCGTATTGCTTCGATATGGTCTTAATTCACAAGTATTCTTAACAAAGATGGATAGTGGCTAATAGTAGAATCCAGGAAGCGCGTTTCATCCTATTTATAAAAACTCTCTGTTAAATGGACTAATATAATGGTTTGAAAATCACTTGATCATTTTAAGAATCGTTTAAGCTTATCCCTATACAACATTTTCTCCAGTCTCTATCTCTCTCTGGTTTATAAATTTATATCCGTTATTTATTTGAATATATAAATATTGGTACAAAGGGGCACCGAATACATATGCGTCACACAAGTCACTTGATTTGTGAGCTAGGATAATGCCCGAGTGCCCAGACTGAAATAGGTGGTCTTCTTGGGCGGCCACACCTGGAGCCTTCGACCTAAAAGTCTGATCTACAAGGTAGTGGAGCAACATGAGGAGATGTAGTCACATGGTAATCGGTGACCAATAATTGGTTCATACACCATTTGTTCCCTCAGGATCCTAGAACTCATGTATACCATTTGTTTAGGATGAGGATTTTCCAACTCCCCTAGGTGAATCCTCCGTTTCCACCAATCCGATTAAAGCACCGGACATTCGCTATCCATCCTGTCAACTTCGTAGAGAACACCCCCATCTCGAGAAGGCAGTGAGCAGGACTTCTCTGACATTGGCCACGTGAAAGTATTTTGTAGAGACGGAGCTGATTCTCCTCACCCTCGACCGTTGTGCATTTGGAGGCACTACAAAATTAATCATTCTTCCAGAACTTTTCATGATATGTGCCACTTAATTATAGCATTTAAACGATCTTTATTGAGAATTGATTCATATCATTAATACATCAAGTTTTCATTAATATCTTGTAGTGAACTACTTTTATCAAGAGAACACGATTGGTATAATGGAAATAATTATTATTATAACCAATTGTACCACAGATTGTTTTACCGTACTTGTTTGTTTAACTGTACCAAAGCGCATACATTCCTCCGTTGATTGTGACCTTGCACGAATTCGGTTACACTCAGTAACCACACTTGTAACCTGGCACGATCTCAGTATTCTTTCGATACCACGGGATCGCTAACAAATACATTTCGACTACAGCCATCAACTACCATCTGGTATTTGGCTTACAGGGGATCTTATCGGTTAACTGGCACTTAGTCTTCCTATAGTGGTGATCATAGTCAACCGCGACTCGACGCCACACTACAATCTAACCAACGAGTGATACACAATTTTAAAGAAAAAAAATGCAACATAAAATGAATCGTCTTATTATTATCATCGTCAAACTATGTCTATTGAATTGTTCAACTCTAAAACCTGTTGAATAGTAACAAGAACAACCTGCTCCTGTATATTCTACCTGTTTCTCATGTCCTCCTGTACAGTTTACAACTTTATATCACTGAATGAAATCAGCAAAAGTTCATTTACAACTAATATCATTCCTCATAATTGTAGACGGTTTGCAGTTAACAACAAAGAATCATCAATATAGAATGAATTCATTTCATTAGACAAAGTATTGTCATTCTTCAGTGGCTTCAATTTATTAACCGATCAAGTTTCATACAACTGTTACAATAATAATCCAAACCAGTTTCATTCATAGTTCTATACATTATTATTCGAATATACTAAAACTTGTAATTGTAAAGTAATATCGAGGTTATCCAACTCCGCCTGGAGTCCCTCCGGGGGCTACTGCCGGTCCCAACCCCGGATAAAGGAGGAGGGTTGGGCATGGGGTTAGTGACCCCATCCCATAGAAAACCAACTCGCTAAAAAAAACGCTAACCAGAAAAAATTATTGAAACCTTTTAAACTCCGCTCTGGGAGTCAGAAGGTTTTCATTTAGAAGAGTTATGACACCTCGTGATGAAAGCCGAGCTCCTTCGGAAGTCACGAGGCCGATGTCTCTTCTGACAACTAAAGCAACCATTTATTTAGGTACATGGAATACTCGTACAATGTGAGTCTTCCAAATTGCTGTAGAAATGAGGAGATACAATCGAGGTTATCCATTCAGGATAAACATTCCCCAATTCAGATCAACTAGTCTCAGTGTTCTATGTCACAAGACAAGCCCTCACATGGAATTTTCAAGGCCAAAGCAAAAGAGGAAGACCAAAGAACACATTACGCCGGGAAATGGAGATAGACATGAGAAAAATGAACAAGAATTGGATGAAACTAGAAAAGAAGGCGGAGGACAGAATGGGTTAGAGAATGCTGGTCGGCGGCCTATGCTCCATTAGGAGTAACAGGCGTAAGTAAGTCTCAGTGTTGATTATTAGGGACAGATGGAAATTGAAAACAATTACTAACATCATCATGCTCGTTGAACAATTTAATGTGATTGTGAACTTGGAGGCTCACAGAATAATATGTAAGAATTTGATATGACATGCACAATGTTGTAGTAACCATGTGAATATCAACCGAATGTCTAGATGTTGTCCGCTGATAAGTTCAAAATTGATGGAAATTTAAACCCTCGGATTTTATTGCTATCCTACAATCTATGTATTATAAAAATAAGTCCGCTGTTTGTAAGAGGTAAACAAAGTTTAAAACACCTTGTAAACATTGATTGATCAATTTTCACCAAAATAGAATTTAACTGAGTTACTCAAAGTCTGGAAGGGGGAATAAATTATTCATCTGACCAAAGTCATTACCCACAATCACAGTCTAAAACAGTTCATTTTATATCATAGGTTGAATGAATATACACTTAAATTATTCATCATACATCAAAGCTTCCTACATCCACTTAGTCTTCTTAAACTGTATATCTAGTTGAACAAGCATCAGAATGTATATGTCATGACTGAATCAGAGTCACATAACCTAACAAGTGAATCTCAATTTGTCACTATAAAACATATCTAATTGTTGAGTCTTCATTCTAATCAAATAAGACCATTAGTGCTCGTATTAATGTGTCTTCCATAGATTTCAATGATCAATCAAACTACTATTCAAAGCAAAATGTCATCATGTATATAGAATTTCATGTTGCTTTTTACTTTTCTTTCTAAAATGGAACACTGTCAAACATGAATGATCAGTCTGAATAAATAATACATCACAATGGCAGTCATTATCACCAGAAGGAGACAAAGTATAAGTGACAATATAGAGAAATACAAATGATCTCTTCATTTCTCTAATCTCATATTCACCTTTGCATTATCGAACTATCATCATCATCACCACCATCATCATCATCTCACTACTGATATCTAGCAATATAAGTAGTATTCGCCACACTATTACTACTACTGCTGTGGTAAATGAGGACACAGCTGAGGACAATCGATCATATTTGTCACAAAATTACAGAGTTACTTGATAAAATAGAAAAACCATACTTCAATACGTCATTTGCAAAATGTTCATTAATTGATGGATAGTAGCTAGCAGTGGAATCCAGGACGCGCGTTTCATCTTATTTGGGACTCATCAGCTGGATGTACCTGCATCTCAAAGAGTTGATATTCACTCTAAGACTCGAACCCAGTACCATTCACTTTAAACGCCATCGCATTATCCACTCAGCTACTAAGTCCTGATAGCCACTTGCTTGTGCAATTGGATGAATTTGACAGACTGATCAATTGCAGTCATAAATGTCAATGGGAAGATACATGCCAAACAATACCAAGTGTTCATTAATTATCAGGGGTTTGTGGGGATTTTTAGAAATTTTCACAGATTGAAATCATGAGTCAGTTGAAGCTAGACCACCATTAAAAACCTAGAAGCACTGGACGGCCGTTTCGCCCTAGTACGGGACTCCTCAGCAATGCTCATCCACGATCGCGCACCCCGCGAGATTCGAACCCAGGACCTACTGGCTTCGTGCGCGCGACCGCTTAACCATCAGACCACTGAGCCGGCTGGTATCCAACGGTGTTAATGTCTAACTTCAACCAATCCACGAAGTTGCGCCACCATATACCATTGTCTTCAGTGAGCTGATATCTCACAACAGACCTGGTTGTACTCCACTGGTAACGGCTTCCCACTAGAACTCCAGGAGTATCTCTTGAAGTCAGTCACTAGTGAGCAGATGATTATTATCAGAAGGGGTTTGTGGAGATTTTTAGAAATTTTCACAGATTGAAATCATGGTTAAGCGCTCGCACGCGAAGCCAGTAGGTCCTGGGTTCGAACCCGCGTGGTGTGGGATCGTTGGTGCGCACTGCTGGGGAGTCCCGTACTAGGGCGAAACGGCCATCCAGTGCTTCTAGGTTTTCAATGGTGGTCTAGCTTCCACTGACCCATGATTTCAATCTGTTCATTAATTATTTCACCTGCATACAGTAGTTCTGTCTTGATGTAACTCTTCTAAGATTACTGCCAATCCCAAATCCTCTATAAAGAATGAAGATTGAGCTTATGGGGTCAACATCTTCATCTTATAGATAACAATCTTACTGAAAATACAAAACACTAACCAATATTTATTCATAAACCAAATACATATGATCTATATATCTGTATATATCAAAGATCTTTTATTTCATATGAACAAATATTACGGAAGATCACTGTACAATATATTCAGATGAGTTTCACCATCATCATCGTCATCCGAATCATCATCATCATGGTTTTACATAGAATATCAATCAATGAGATAAGGATTTATGAATTCGTCTATTAGTATTATTATCATTACTTAGTACTTTTAATTCCATGGAAGTTTTTCGTTGTCTTTCTTTTAAATGTATTAACCAATGTTTCATATTCTTTAATGGTTGATAATCTCTATGATGATGATGATGATGATCATTTAATACATTAGTTGTTGTTTCTATTTGTTTTAAATCTTTATATTCAATTCTATGTTTATCATTCATTTTAAATGTTGATCGATTTAAATCATGATTGTTACTATGACAACAATCATTCATGAATAATGGATCATGATTATTAATGGTGAATTGTTTATTGATTTTATCGATTGGATATTGATTTTTTATTTGAATAAAAGATAATTTTGGCAAATTATTCTTTTTTAAATCATAATCCATATACATTGGATTGTTTGTAGTACCTATTGTATTATTATTATTATATAGAGTTATATTTGATTCAATGAATTTACATTGTATATAATATGGTTTATCTAATTGATAAAGTCTTGAATGTTTCTTTAATGAATGTCTTTCTGAATATCTACGTGGCATTCTATTCATAGGGATAGTAGTAGTATTAGTAGTATTGCTAGTAGTATTAGTAGTAGTATCAGTAGTATTAGTAGTAGTACAATCATTTGGTAATATAGATGTACTAAAATGACGTAATGTTCTACTATCATTCTTAGATGATATATTCCCATTAGTATTAATAGATAATCCATAAGTGGATTGTAATCGATCATTTGCTTCTGACCATGATAAACCATATAAATCTTCATGAAATAATGTAATACTATGCATAATATAATATTTAAGTTTTTTTGAAAGATTTAATGCTTTATGAAATAAGAATTGAGAGAAATTAGATTTTCTAGAAGAGTTTGTAGATTGGTAGATTGGTTTCGAAGTAGATTCATCATCTGAATATGATATTGAATGATAACTATGATAGTTATGATCATCATCATCAGCAGCAGCAGCAGTATCATCATCATCTGTTAGATCATGTATTGAATAATCTTTTTCTATTTCATTGAAATGATGACATAATTTCTCATTTCGTTGATTAACTCTTGAAGATATTCTTGATTCATTCATCATATTAGATCCTATTGAATAAGTTTATTATCTATAATAGATATATATTGATACATTTGTGTTTAATTTCATTAGAATGTAACAAACAATTAAACAAACAAAAGTAACTAAGATATATACAAATGATCATAAACTTTGTTTATGGGAAAATCATTCTTCTTTGTGATTGGTCAGTTTTGGACAAGAACAACAACAACAACAACAACAACGAAAAAAAGAGGCATATTGAATAGACAACTATCCAAGAAATATGATTGGTTAATTTTCAAAAGCTTCATATGTATGTTCAATAATGTCAATAGTTAATATTCAACATATGGTATTCTTTTAATAAATTGATTACATAACAATGAAATAATATCCCAATGTTTAATGTATTATCGTTTGTCATCTGTTTGTTGAACTTAATCTCAATGAGAATGTTGTTAAATGATTACACTTATCAATATGAGATTATAGAGATTATTAGGTTATTGATTGAGATTATGAACCGATTGATATATGTTAGATTATCCACCATTGAAAAGCTAGAAGTACAGATGACCGTTTCGTTCAATTGTGGAACTACTCCTCTACGATCCCGCACTGTTGAAGAGTCACATACTGAGACGAAACAATCATCTAATGTTGCCAAGTTTTCAATGATGGTCTAGCATCAATCGGTTCATGATCTCAATCAAATATTATACTTCTTTTGATGATTTATGCTTTAATTATTCATAGAAATCTTTGAATGTTATCCATTTTGAATTTTGAGTCATTAGAATTGAAATCAACAAAAAGGATTATATCCTATTAAGTTGAACTTTGTGAAATAGGCTTACTTTTTTTTTAAAGAATAATAGTTCTTCATATGTGAACATTAGTTACTATTTAAATGGGAGGTTTGTGAAAATTAATTGAAATAGACGAGTATTACTGTTCTCTTATAACGTTTGACCTTCTGTCTCTATCAATTATATGACGTAATGATACTGCCAATTAGAGAACAATGAGTTATCGATTGGACCAATGATGCATAATATCTCATTACATCCTTCTTTTTCATTGATGAGATACGTGAAGCTTTACTCCTCTGCCAAAGTCTCTCTAACTATTGTGATTCAGTTGGTGTTCTTATTATAACTTGTGCCCTATGTCCTATTAACGTATAACGTAATGATACCGCCAATTAGGAAACAGTGAATTATCGATCAGACCAATGACGTGTAAACCTATATGAGCAGTCTAGAGTACTTATCGGTCTTGCTTCCTGCCTAGCCCAGCCAGTTAAGTACAGAACACCAGTTCGAGCCTCTGCGATACGAATCATTATAATTCAAAGATACTCGGTTTATACACCAATCAAACAGACCATATCGTACCATAAAATAGAAAACAACATTTATACAAGATTTGGTCAAATGTGGCTGTGAATAAGGGAGGTAGTAATTAATTCAAGAATGGTAAACAATGATTAGCTGTTCCGTGATATTATGCGATCTCATATCTATCCCTTTCCAGGGATGTTACTACCAGTTTCATAGCATTTATTATCTAGAATACAACTGTTTACTTACTTACACCTATCACTCCTCGTGGAGGAGTATAGGCCACCCACCAGCACGCTCCATCCAGCTCTGTCCTGGATAATCATTTCTTATAGCTATCCCTTTTCATGGATGTTACTACCAGTTTCATAGTATTTATGATCTAGAATTTCTATTGCTTACAATCAAGTAACTATCCAGTTATCAGTAGACAAATAGTAAGTATCGTTGCTTTGTAAATATTTATAAATTATGACTCAAATATTAAGTCAAATCATTTTAACACTGAAACACTTAATAATCAATTCCTAAACCTTCAATGCTTTTACTTGATAGAGTTTTGTTCTCAGAGATGAATAACTTAGTCATGCAGTTTTCGTCATTCTTCTGAACGACATCATTATCAGTACAAACTTTGAATTCGAGAAATTGAAACTTCACTTCTATTTGAATTTTGTACAGTTGATATCATTCAAAAGAACAATAAAAGCTCTATGATTAAACTATCCAGTTTAAAGAACAAAACTCTATCAAAATCATCCACCTATGCTATAAATCTTCTCCACTATCTTATAATTCCTTTTTTATTGTTTATATTATAATTCTTAGATCTATTGAAGCGTCTATATCATCCAATTGTGATATGTGAGAAATTTGAAATTCACAAAACAACGATTTGTCTAAAAAAGATCGTACTTTATTGAAGAATATACAAAAATTAGTTATAAAACTCAACTTATGAAGTATCTGTGGCGTTTACCACATCTTCAAGTTTGAAATAAAGAGGTCTTCTTGCAATAGTACCATAAAGAATAACTACAACATACGATTGTACAAACGGCAGCTCTCCGCTGTGTCTAAACTTTATGACAGTTTATCAACAACAACAACAACAAAAGCTGAACCAAGAGCAAACAATATGGTAACTTTTGTGTTTAAACAAGGATTAAACGATTACACAAATTGTGAATAACTGTTACAAAGATTGAAGGAAAGTAATTATAATGATAAATACAATTAATGTTATAAGTATACGTAAATATTTTACACGATATAATTGCGTAATAACATACACGTAGAAGTTGCTAGTAATACAATTGTTTACTTACTTACGCGTTACTCCTCGTGAAGAAGCATAGGCCGACCACCAGCATTCGCCATCCAACTCTATCCTGGATAATCCTTTCTAGTTCTTTACAGTTGTTATTCATCCTTTTCATATCTGATTCTATTTCACGACGTAATGTGCTCTTTAACCTTCCTCTTTTCCGTTTCCTTTCAGGATTTCAAGTTAGGGCTTGCCTCTTGATGCAGTTTGATAATTTGCGTAACGTATTTCCTATCCATTTCCATCGTTTTTCCCTAATTTCTTCTTCAACTGGAAGCTTGTTTGTTCTTTTCCACAGATGGCTGTTGCTGATGGTATCCGGTCAATGGATGCTGAGTATCTTGCGTAGACAACTTGACGCTAACCAGAAAAACAACTGTTTACTCAATATTAATAAGTAGTATAAAACAATACACAAAAGAGTTGAGGGGAAGTGAACGAGGACAGTGAATATAAAACAGGCTTAATAATAATATAAAAAAGACTCAATGAAAATAGAACCCCATTTATTGTTTAATTCACCAAAATGATCACTAGTGGCGACACTCTAATTTATGGACGAGCCAATCAGAGGTGTTTTAGAGATTTAAAGGTTATGTGGTCGAGGCTGAGAGTATTTGAGACTTTATCATGGATCCAGAGGTCGACTATTCTGTAGCCGTATGGATGATTTTCTCTATTGCATACATTACGATTTTGCAACCTCTGAACCTCTTTCTAGCCTTGACAAGTTTTTGAACCACGTATAAGAAGTGTATCCACTGTAATTCTTTGGTTTTGTATAACATCTGTTTACTCCATACTGACTGTTTGCTGATTGGCTGATATTTCTGAGGGTCGCCTGGGATTAGTTCAAAAGTCGTCAATAAATTAGAGTCTCTTCGAATTACGGTTATCACAAAAGACTAAACACTCAGTCCTACAGAAGTTCGTTCTCAATTGAATTAGCTTAGTGATAATGTCTTTTACTGTAACACCAGGTGATGCACATTCAGATTCTGTAAAAAGCATCACGTATACTTTGCTGATAAGTAGTAACTATTACGAAACCCAGACATAACTGAGTATCTTACTGCATGAGTATCTAAATACACATGAGTTGTTCAAAAGAAAATCGCATGCATTTATACTCTGTCATTTCCTATATCTAAAATTCTAACAGTGACATTGTAGGGGCTGGTACTATGTCAAGCCTCAAATCTCTAGACTGACTAACCTATTCATTCTTCTCAAGCTACATTCTTACCTTGTCACTTATTCGTTTATTAATCCTGACTGTTTTTGTTTGATCATATGTGTGCTAACTTCTTACCCTACTCATTATGTATCTGTAACTTGTTTTTGTTCGACTACAAATACTAAATCAAGCCTGGTTGAATCGAGCTAGGTCACACGCGCCATTCGATCTGTTTCACTTCGCACTCTCCTATTCTCTTTCTTCGCTTCGTTTCTTTGATCGTCTGTCCGGCTCAACGACTGTACAAAAAAATACTTATTCAAACTTTATTCTCATATTTGACTTATGTAATTCCGTCGATGATTATATACGACGGTAGTCGGGATGTATATTTCGACAACAATCATTCATACAATCCTATTGAAATCAGACATAGGCTCACTAAAACATATACAGTGTACTTGATCCAATTATGTTACATAAGATTTGATTCCTCGGAGACAACAATTTATGGACGAACCAATCAAGTATAAACTCCACCTGGAGCCCCTCTGGGGCTACTGCCGGTCTCAAGCCCGGATAAAGGAGGAGGGTTAAGCGACCCCATCCCGTAGAAAACTAACTCGCTAAAAGGACGTTAACCAGAAAAATTTCAGGTATAAGATAACAGGTCATGGATTTTAGCGCGAAATCCATTCATCCATTTGGTTAAATAACATTTCGGTATTAGAGCTGATGTTAGTTCGTGATGAAAATTTTAAATCTAATTCTTGAATTTAGCCATCAACTGTAAATCTTAATTCGAACTCCACATACTGGTTTATGACCTTCATTTGATTCTAGTGATTAGGCTAATACTCTCAAGGTCAGTGTAGAGTTACTCAAAGGTCGTTCATACATTATAGTTTCACCGATTTCTTTTCTACTTTCATTCCGTTTATTCAAATAAGATTTTATACCGAATGAATAATTATAATTTTTCTCGAGAGTTTCATTACTGTCGTCTAAATAATGTGTTAAGTTTTAATGAATAAACATAACTGTAGTGAACGAGAACACAACTGGAGACAACCAAATGTATTCTAATGTAACATTATAGAATATCTTAGTAAAATCTGAGAAATATACAGTTTGGAAAATTTCAATCATTCATCTCATACTTCATTGTTCCTTCGTTTCCACAACGATCATTTTTTGTTCTCATTCTCTTTCCTTTGGAAATGTTACATACCACTGGTAAGGTAACAGATTGT